TTTTTTTTTTTTTTTTTACACAATTGCGAGATCAATAATGACTCTCTGAAAACTCATTAATTATCGCGAAAGATATAATAACTGCACACGCTTCAAATAAATTAAATTTTTCTTAATTCAGTTAAAAAGTCTCTTTCTTCATTATATAATAATAAAAGTCTATTTTAATTCAATTAATTAACGATCAAAGTGCCAGCAAAAATATATCTTTGCTCGCAATAAAAATAAAAAAACTTTGTGCCCGGACATTTGCCGGTCCACTGGATAATTCGAAATTAAACGAAGTCTATTACAGCAATTCCTTGTCACATGATATTTTAACGAGAAAAATGGCGACGGGTCATTAAGGAGAAGAATTCAAGAACAGGATTGTTATGCTTCGCGACATTTATCGTAGCACTTCACCGTTTTCTCGATAACGAGCGATCATTCCGTCGAATATTCATTTAATGAAATCAACGCACTACTGGACACTGGAGATCGCGGCTAATTAAATTTTCATCTGTCCTATATAAGCGAGGACCCGACATGCTGCGGATTAAATTAGCGAGAAACGGAGGTTGAATTTACGCCACAGCGAATTGCGATTCCGATCAACAACAGAATCGCTGAAGATATTTGATTAAATAAATATGTAAGATTATCACAAATGTGTGAGGAATTTTTAAGTTTTTAAACAAGTACTTCTCGGTTGCGAGAGAATCGTTTTTCGGGTTCAATAGAGGTATGATTCACGCTTGCTTTTAATACTTTTTTATATGTTTTTTGAATGAAAACGTGTAGAATATAAATATAGAAATTGTATTTTAAAATGTACTCGATTTCTTAAGAAATATATATCACATTCTCTCGATCGATCTCTTTTCTCGTAACAAGGAGATTATGCGGACAGACTTATGTGCATATCGATAATCGTTTTACGTGGATAATAGGTTTGACGAAATTAGTATATTTTGGGAAGGACATTCTACTCTGTATACATCCAGAGTTTATCGATTCAATTCTCCATTAATAGCATAATCTCGTCTGGACGATTTTTCTTCGCTAATATTATATCCGCCTGCTACATCTGAAATTCAACGATAACATGCACATCGCGGATTAACACGATTATGCCGTTGGATTACATCGCAAGAAAGGTCAGATCTTCTGGAATTGGATAGAACGCTGCGTTGTAATTTCTTCTTTCAGTGTAAATTAGACCTGTTTGCGCCGAGCTTCCGAAGAAGAAGCGATGTCGGACCGAGATTTCAGATCAATCAATGGTAAAATAGAAATTGAATCGGTGGTGATAAAATTTCTCTGCCAAAGAACCTTCCCGCAAGCGTTAGTTAAAATCAACTGAGATTTAATTCTTTGATCTGAATTAAATTATAGTTAAAAAACTTCATTTTAAACAATATTTTTAACGGTATAAACAAAAATGAACTAGAATAACCTGTGTTAATCATTGTCGATAATGGCCAGAATTGAAGCTAATATGTTCGTCTTTCCACATGGAGGCAATCACGTAATGGACGTACCTTTTTTCACGAGCATATTATCTAATAGCGATGAATATATGGAATCGCACGAACGTCCCGTTCCCGACGAAGCTGATAATCTCGATGTAGCGGGCCCTGGAGCTCTTTCTATTCAACGGTAAAGCACGATACGGTGTCGTAAATATACAAGAGATGCACAACCGCGTTAGCCTTTATCGCTTTATTACTTGGAGCGTCCGCTCGCGAAGGATTACCAAACGAGGACCGGATAAATCTGAATCTAATCCTCGCTCGCCAGCGAACATAATCGGAAGATACTCCCCCATCATCATGAATACAATTGTTTGTCTTCCGCAGGGATTTGTATTTAGATAGCATAATTCGTATCAGCGTGTATCTTCTATCGAAGCGAAATAATTAGATGCGGTCTACAATACGTGATGAAAAATACGGGATAGCAATCCATTTATAATTTTGTAATATATGTAGAAGAAATAAAAAAACAAATTCGAAGAATTAAAAGTGCATACTATATATATGCATACATAATAAATAGATTTCTATTTATTATAGATCGCCTAGGTAAATTTGACGTTTAAATTATTATGCTACTTTATAATCATCAATAGTCAAGAGCTTTTAAAAAGCACGCAAATGTTTAAGCGTAGCTTTTGCACTTTGAGAAAAAAGTATATACACGCGGCAAAATCGGGATACATTTATATTTGATGAATCGATGTGTTCCGGACTTTCATATCGGGCGATGTTTATCGTTACGCGAAATTTTGTCCCTTTAGCATCGCCCACTTCATAGCGAGCCAATCGAAATCGGATACATATTCGCGTGTTTTGAAGTCCAAAATATATAGCTTCGAGAAAAATAGATCGGGAAAAATGCCTATGTTTGACCGAATTTCCGCGACCGAGTTTCCTTTGTGCCGCATGTTCGATGCTGTTAATCTCCGATTGAAGG